ACCAGACGATGGTATCACTATATTTATTGTCCACACATCTTTTTATGCGATTAACAACATTTAAAAGAGCCATAAATCAACAATAACAAATACGTTCATAACTTGTTTAACAACAACGTTCTGCGCAATTTTTGCTTTTGAAACAATATCTTTCTCTGAGCTATTAGATTGCGTTCCGCTTCGTTCGGAAACGGGAAACAATACAAGACCTTTGAAAAAGTGCTAAATTGTAAAGATAATATTATAATGCTAAACAATTTATAAAAGTGAAATATATCGAATGTAACAATATGAATTCTTCTCTACGGATAAGACAACCCGTGTGCATGTTTACCGATAGCGAAATGGCTACACGCGTCGATCGAAGCATTACTATGAAGCATTATTATAGTCAGTTACCTGTGTTGCTAGGGATGCCAGATGTACGGTTTTCGACCGGACAATCCGGTTTTCTTTATGCTAGTACGGTCACAAAATTCTTGGTAAACCGGACAATAGATTGTCCGGTACTAAAATAAATGTTTATTATTTCTACCGAACAGCACGAGCGTTTCGTAGCCAAATTTTTTAACAACGAAGCAGCGCCATATTTATTGAAAATCGTACAGTATGTTTGTAGTATTCCCATATCTAATGCTTTTGTGGAACGAATCTTCAGCGTCAAGGGAAATGTATGGACCGATGAAAGAAATCGTCTCGCGATACAAACTGTAAAAAGTGAATTGTGCGTTTTCTTTAATATAAATGTTAGTTGCAGTGTATTTAAAGATGCCATCTCAGGCAATAAGACTTTATTAAAAGCAGTCGAAGTTCTAAATATATAAAAAAGTAGAAATGACTGTAGTTTAGTAGGTAAGTTTCCAGTACACAAAGTACATTACAAAAGTACATTTAAGTTCACTTTTTAAGTTTTGTATTTTATTGTATTAAAGTACATTTTTTGTAAGAAATAAAAACAAAAACATGTCCTGGTTTTTCTTTGAACACAACTGGCATCCCTATGTGTTGCTAGCTGTAGTCGCTGTGGAGCTAGCCATGTTGACATTCTACAATCTTTAACGCTATTAGAAAACTATAAATATGAATGGGAATAACATATCTCAATATTAAAACACGTGACTTGACGTCGATTTCACACATTTTTATAGTTTTATATTAACAGGAGGTTAGCACGGAGCACTGCAGCAAACAACTCTGAGAAGGATCTGTTATCTCTCGTTGCCTCTCAGCAGTCTCTTTCTTGACTATCACGGACTTGATATAATTGAATCTCTTACGCTGCCACAACACAGCAAAGATAGCTACTAGCTTACCTAGCAAGAAACTAAATTAGAAGCGAACTACAAAGTTTATACGACACACATATTATGTCACAATAGTGTTCCGATATACACTGTGACGTCACGTATGGTGCGTAATTGAACAGTGAACCAACCAGGAACATTGAACCACCACCGATCGTGTTAAAACTTTTCTCGTAATCACCCTTCCCCTCTCCCGTAGTTAGCCGGTGGCTGCGGCTTGAGCGTAAGGTGTGACAGCGGTTTGTTTGTTTCTCGCCAAAAAACATAGAATTCTCACGTAAGTGTCTCGATTCTTATATATTTTTTTCTATTTATTAATTCTAGCACCAAAAGCTTTATGGTGTCGATATTGTTGTAGTTTTAGACGTTTTATAAGCATATTGCTTTGTGACAATTCAGCCTATAACCTATTTTTTTTTAATATTATAAGTTGAACAGTGTGTGTATTGAACAGTGAACTAGGTTCGCATAGTACACAGTGAATCGGTTCACTGTGTACCTTACGATCCTGGTTCTCTGTTCAATGATAGTGTTATGCTGAAAATCAATAATATTTTTAATTGATTTAGGATGTCAAGGCCAAGAAATATGGAAAGAAAAATTGGAAAACACAGTAAGACGATATGATGTCAGCATTACTAATGATAGAAAATGGTAGCTCCATTAGGACGGCGGCAAAAACCAGTAAATCCCTACCCTACATTGCGCCGTTACGTTAAAAATAACGTGAACATGGTGATAATATATCACTCGAACCGAAGTATGATATTAGTAAAGTGTTTGCTGAAGAACACGAACAAATATTATTAAAATACTACAAAGGCTGTGCACTAATGTTCTACGGTTTGACCATCAAATAATGTAGGAAGGTGGCGTACGAAATGGCAAAGGTTAATGGCATAAAAAGGGAAAGGGGTAAGGGATAAAATGTCAGGTTTGGAATGGTTTTGTTTCTTTAAAAAAAGACATCCGGATATTTCAGTAAAGAAACCAGAAGCTGTAAGTCTCGCACAAGCTACCACCTCATTCGATCGGAAAGCTGTGGCAATATTTAAAAGATCGTCTAAATAAAACTAGAACCCGATATGGCTAATGTGAAACTAAGTGACATTAAAATGATACTCCGTCCTCTTTTTGTGTCAGGTACAAAACGTCTGATTAAATATTCCTTCCATCGATCACTAATATTCTTTATTAGTGATCGATGATTCCTTCAATATAAACTTATCTTTACTAAATATGGCGTAAATATTTACTTTGACGCATTTTGATGTATTTTTTTCGTGATTCTTTAATTAGTCGGTAAATTATTGAAGACTGTTAATGATACTATTTGAGGAAGGCTGATTGTTAATTTTATCCAGAGGTTGATATGATAACTTAGCGTCATTACGAAACATATATAATTTGAAATTATAGCTATGTTATGTGTATATGTTATGTTAATTTTTTGTTTACCCAGTTCTTGCTTGAACTGGTAGGTAATTAAATGAAGGCTGATTTTTATTATTAATATGGGGTATCTATATAGTTTTCTCATCTGGTTGGGTTCTATAAATATATAATTATAAATGAAAATGAAAAGATAAATATACATAAATATCAATAACATAAAATAAATATAAAAGTACATAAATAAGTAAAAGCCCAACCAGATGGAGGCCCTCGGCAGGGGAGACCAAACGGCCGAGGGTTAGGGGGAAAGGGAAAGAAACCGGCGGACGATGCGGGCGGTATCGAGGAGCACCGCCTTCTGCATTTGAACCTGGAGCGGTCCGCCACGTAGTCCCAGCCGCCTCAGATGACCCGAGAGGCTGACTGGGATTAGCCCGTCTGCAGAGACGACTACAGGAATAATTTCGGTCGGCAGACCACCCCACATGTCGGTCACCTCGTGAGCCAGGTCCAGATATTTTGTTTTCTTGTCTGTTTCGGCTTTCACGAGGTTCTCGTCATACGGAATGGTAATGTCGACCAAAAATATCCTTGACTGTGCCCGGTCCATCAGCACAATATCAGGTTTATTCGCAAGAATAGTCCTGTCTGTGATGATGGCCCGGTCCCAATAGAGCCTGGCGCGATCATTTTCGAGCACGGCTTCCGGCAAGTACTTGTAATACGGCAATTTCCGATCCACGAGACCGTATTTCAGAGCGAGCTCCTGGTGTAGAATTCTGGCTACTAGGTTGTGCCTGTGCAAGTACTCAGAGTTAGAAAGCGCCGAACAACCGGAGATAACATGCCTAAGTGACTCACCGGGATGGCGACAAGCTCGACAGATGTCGACGGTGCCATCCTTTACGATGTATCTCCGATAGTTGTTGGTCTTAATAACCTGATCCTGAATTGCACAGACAAAACCCTCGGTTTCCCCGAAGAGATCACCAAAGCGTAGCCAGTGGAGGGAGGCTACTGTGTCTACGAAAGGCTCATGTAGAGCCTTGTAGAACCTCCCGTGGAGCTCCTTCTCCTTCCATACGGTCTCCCGGTCGGAAATGCTCTGCACTGCCGGGTCTTGCCATTGCTCGTTGGCTAAGGATAGAGGGATAAGTCCTTTATCACAAGAAATGACGTCCTTATAGAATGGATCATCCGATCTCGCAAGGAAGTAATCACGGAGGCTGCACACTTCGCGATTATGCATGGTGAGCGCGCTCAAGAAGCCACGACCACCATGCTTCCGCGGCAAGTACAGCCTCATTACCGACGATCTCGGATGATGCATCCTATGGGACGTCATGGTAGTGCGGACTTTTCTATCCAGGGCGTTAAGTTCAGTCTGAGTCCACCTGAGTATGCCAAAGGTATACATGAGGACAGGCATGACCCAACCGTTATATGCGTGTGCCTTATTCACACCGGACAAAAGGCTGTTAAGCACTTTGGTCAAGCGTGCATAAAACACGTCGCAAACTGACTGTTTCATACCAGCCTCATCGATACCGATGTTCTGTGACATACCCAGGTATCGGTATGTTTCAGCCTCGGAAAGGGTTCTTAAGTTGACGGGCATAGATAAGTCTATGCCCTCAGAGTTAGCAACCCTTCCCCTTTCAACATGGAGGACCGCACACTTATCCGTCCCCAGCTCCATTCTAATAGAATTGCTAAATTCACACGTGATGTTTAGCAATTCCATAAGATGGGAGCGACTGGAGGCGAATAATTTGAGGTCATCCATGTAGAAAAGGTGGGTCACTTTTGTACCTCCTTTCCGAAGCTGAAATCCCTTCCCGGAGCCCTCCAGTAAAGTACTGAGAGGGTTCAAAGAGAGGCAGAACCAGATTGGACTCAGACAGTCGCCCTGGAATATACCCCTTCTTATTCTTATGCGGCTTTCCGCAGCCGTCATCCGCTCGCCTAGATGACAGAGGATCGTACTCCACTGCCCCATACACTGCTCGAGGAAGTCTCGAACTGTATAGTGAATCTTGTACAGCTCGAGGACCCTCTTTAGCCATGTATGGGGCACCGAGTCAAATGCCTTTCTGTAATCTATCCAGGCGGCGGAGAAGTTCCGACGGTTGCGTTTCACCACTTTGCCAATGACCGCGTCAATGAGGAGTGGTTCCTTGGTTCCACGACCGCCGCCCCGACATCCATTTTGAGCGCGCGACATCACCTGATTTAAGTCCAGGTGACGAGCGATTCTTGCGCTCAAAATGGATGTTAGTGTCTTGTATATGGTCGGTAGACACGTGATGGGGCGGTATTTGCTCGGGTCTGTGGCACCCTGATCTTTAGGAACCAAATGAGTGATCCCAGTAGTGAAGAGGCTTGGGAGCGACTTCTGGTTGAGAGCCTCTTGAAACTGTCGGGCGAGCACAGAGTGACACACCATGAACCCCTTCAGCCAGTAGTGATGCAGCCCGTCAAGCCCCGGACTTTTCCAGTTCGGGGCCCTACGGACCGCCTCAGCTACGTCATCCGGCGTTATGATGACGGGGTCCATGGGCGTAATACTCGCACACTGACTCGCCACAACTTCCGTCCAAGGGCCCTCGTTGTGGTTTACGGGCTCTGACCACAGGCTGCGCCAGAATGCGACCATGTCGGCCTGATTTGGTGCAGGGCCCGTTCCACTTACTATTGGTCGCTCCAATGATTTATAGAGCCTCTTCTGATCACTCTGGAAGAGACGATTCTGGTTGAACCGTGTCGACCTCTCGGTATATCGCCGAATCCGCTTTCCCCAAGCAGCTATTCTTTGCTTCAGGTCGTCTATGCGCTCCGTCAGTTTTTGCATTATATCCGGCTGGGACAAACTAACATTTGTCCCAGCAAACGCCATCCTGACGGTGCGCACAATCCTTGGCCTGGTATTGTCTGACCTGAAGCATATCAGTCTGCCGATGAGGGCCCTAGCCTTTGCGATACGTTCTTCAATTCTTATTCTCCAGGCTGGGATAGCACTACTTTGTCCAGGAGCGCGTCCAGCCGTGGAAAGTTTGGCACCTATAATACGGCAGACTGCCAGTGCGGCGCCAAAAAGAATTGAGTCCGTATCGCAAAGGTCCCGGCTGGCTTCCAAATAGGTAACCAGCATTGGGTTCAGAGCCCTCACGACAGCCCGATTCCGCTTGCTTAGGGCTAAGCGGGGAAGTCGCGGTCGATTTTCGAGAGTCGTACTGCGCGTTTCCACAATCGCCTCTTCCAATGTACTCCTCATTTGCTCTAGTTCCAGGGCGACTGTTCCATCATCGTTTGAATCAACCACAACTGGCGTATTCACGGCGGCATCCACATTTGCCGTTTGCTCAGCAAGTTGTGGCGCCGCATCCTCAGCCGCAGCATTTTCACCCGATGAAGGAACAGCCTCACGTCGTAGCCGTTCGAGTTCGGTGACATCAAATGTATTTGAGCGCAAGATATACCGAACTCGGTCTGCCAGGTTTTGCTCGGTGACGGTTACAGATGGCTCCAGCTCAGCAAAAAGTCGATGCATCCTTGCCCGATACGCAAAACCTCCAGTTTCTCCCCCCTTTCGCCCTAAAATTAATTTTTTAATTTAATTATTAATTATTATTATTATTACCACAGAGAAAGCACTGAAAACCAATTTTTTTTTGTAATTAGAAGTAATATTTTTTTATTTTACAACAAAAATAAAAGACGATTATCAAAAATTTTATGGTGTCTTTTCACAAATAAGAATTTTTACTGGTAACGAAATTGTGGTTCACTGTTGAAATGCAGGTGGTTCAGTGTATACTACCTATAGTACACAGTGAGCCAATTTTTATTTTATTTTTAAACTTTATTTACGGTCTTTATTCGTTTCTCTGGCTTTCTGTAACCTGAATATGAGAAACTGTATAAAATTGCCTAAACCATGACACCAAAACGAAATTCTTAACTTTAATTTCTAACAAGTTATATGACTTAGAAAAAAGTTTGATTCACTGTTCAACAACGCACCCTACTTATTTATGACGTCATATTATATTTCCCTAGATTAATGCAGCAGTATACTGGCAGTCCGTAACGGAACGAATTTTTCACCAGGGAAAGCACTGAACAGTGCTCGCAGTGTATATCGGAACACGGCCAATATAGACTAATAGTATCCAAGCATGTTTATTAACATGTCAGATATTGTTGAGGCTAAGTATATCCTCGCATATCGTCACAGATAGTGTAGTGTGCCTAATTATAGAGTACTTACCTAAATACTTTGCACAGGCTGCATTGAGTGGTTTGACAAATGTCACAAGTCACGTATGTATGTTGATACTTGCACTTGTAATCTAACCGTGATTGAAAAAGTAAATTATCTTGCGTTAACTATAACGCCAATAAAATTGCATAGGGTACGTTTTTTACTAGATATAAAGACTAACCACCACCACATGATGGTAAGTGAATTCTGCAGCTTCGACTTCAAACAAATTAGGTCACAGAGCCTATAGCTAAATTATACCGGAACACAGTATACATTAATCGGTAGCAGAATTAGATAAAGAAGCCCACCCCACAATCTTGCAGTTAATTCTATCACAACTATTGATGAAGACTTACCACCCTTCGTATTCTTCATCATACCAATCGTGCCCCCAGTGTAAATAACTAGCACTCTTCTCTCGTTCACAGTCGACAGACTCTGCACAGAACTCATTTTTCTGAGCTCGAGATAACTTCTAGACTTCCTAAATTTTGCTGTCACCCTTGCATATCTATTGTTTTCGTTTGTTGACACATCACTGTTTTTCAAAATTATTTCATTTGTATCGTTGGCATTTCGTTCCGAAACTCCGTTTGCATGTTCCATTTTTAAACTCGTCAAAATTTAAAATAACTTTTACATTTACGAACGTGTTATTTTATCATCGCTCCGCTAGAGCGCAAGTATAAGGCGTAGCTGCCTGCGCGACATTGAATCGCCGACTGAAGCTTTCGGATTATTCAAAGTACTCTGTGACTGAAGCAATATATGCGACAGCGAGTGATGCATAGGAAATCCGAATGTAGATCAATGATATTGTGGTTTAATAAAAAGAATTTAAACAACACACATTGATCGTAAGCTGTGATGAGAAGTGCATCTAGCATTTCCGGTTTCCGCTACCGTTACAGCCTATTAAAGTCCATTGCTGAACATATGAATAGAAACAGAAACTTTTTTATTCAATATAGATTATAAATAATACTTATAGAAAGTCACTTTTTTAATTTACCACTAGTTTGGCTCGGAAATACCTCCGTCCTGGGAAGAACCACCAAGAAACCCAGCGGGACTCTTTTTTTAAAATAATAGCTTACAATCATGTATGTTATAAATTACAATTAAAAAGACATAACAAATTAGAAACAGTTTGGCAGCGATCACCCTTACCAGGGGTTATTTTCATTTATCATCCATAAATTCCTCAATATTGTAATAACCCTTTTAATACGAACTTGAACATTGTGCAGGTCAAATTTCGTATATTTTCTGAGATTTTGATGTAAAAGCACAACACCCCAAGAATGAATTACTGACTCGATGGAGTCGAGTAACGGGTACTAACTTGTGTGTATTCCTAGGATTTACAGAATAAATATCACTTACCTATTTTTGGTAATCTACTTTTATTTTTGTGTGCCAAAGTATATTACATTTTAAATAATATATTGAGAGGCCAAAGTTAATCCACAAATTTATTTAAATTTTCGTCTGAGCAACTCTTTAGGTTTTAAATGTCCCCATAGCAAAATACCCGTAGAATACTATAATACACAATAGAATCTGTCAACTTTATTTTGTACCGAGTTCGGCGTCGCCGGGAGCACACATACATGCGATTACGTCGTATTATCAGTTAGGTAATCACTACTACAAACCCGATTCGCTGTGTTGACAGACGGATTTTAATACATATTTGTTTGTGCAATTTGGCATTTTGTAAATAATTTGCATGCGAAATTTGGAAACGATTGTAACGTCAAAACACATCTCGTGTTGACATTTATAGGTGTGAATTGACGTCTTGTGGCATTTTAGGCTACACGGGCTCCGCCCACATCCCCGTTCTATTTTGTATGTATTATAGTATTCTATGATAATACCATACGACATTATGCTATGGAAATAGCTAAAGTACATACATAGATTTCCTCATTAGGATGGATATTTTCTATAGTTGTCGAGCAAGCAGGATGGCCATCATAGTCTTTTATTTTTAGTCGTTATTAGAAAGATGCTGTCCATCTTGGTCATAGTCATGAAATTAGTGTCTTGTCATCGGTCCATAATTTTAATAATTGATTCCACTACCACGTAAAGGGGAGGTGGGAAGGGACTTCAGCCACCTCCACTCACCAAGCAAAACGCAAAGGTAAATCTCTACTTTACGCTGGTATTCTGTGTGGGTGTAGTACCACTCCGGTTCGAGCCGGCCCATTCGTGCGACATCAAAAGTTGCCGCGTTGTTCTACCACTGGTTTCCAGAGATTCCTAAAGTGGTTTCCGAGGAAACTAGGAAGTCCACAGTACTTATCCACTTATTTGTGCGCTCGGTTGTCACTTTATTCTTTATAAAAAATCGTTTTAAATCTGGGCGGCCTGTGGTCAGTTGTGGAACGTTTATCAAGCGCTAACTTTTTTACTGTTAATTATTTTATTGACAGTCTGATAGGTTATAATGCGCTCACCAAAATGTATGGAAGAATACTAGATCTTTATAAAATTATCTACGTTTAAAGTATCAATTGAATAAACAAAGAGAAGCTGTTCTCTACACAATGGTAAAACGAACTCAAGTAGACTAAGCTAAGCTAATTCCTACTTTACTTTTCCGGTTTGATCCATACAATTTCAAATTTGAACATATGTAGATATATCCTCTTCCCTAATAATCTCACTACTTTATTAAAATGACGTAAGATAGATGATGGATTAACCCATCTACGTGCTAAGCCTTAATTTCGTACCCAAAAGAATGAATTATGTTGAAGCTTTCGAAAATGGAAATATTTTAGGAAAATGTCAGAAATATTTTAAAATCGGATCGTATTTCGGATAATTCATATTTCTAGATAGATGTCTTAAAAAGTTTCATACTTAATTTCCAGACCGCTGACTAGGTGCCGCAATCAGTACGTATCCGACGTTACAGTTCGTAGCCAGGTGTAATAAATTTTATTGACACATAGATTTAACAAATGTATGCTCGTAGAACAGTGAGCTAAACAATGTTCAAAAAAGATACACAAATATTTTCTGTTGGACCTCAAACTAGAATAATCTTGAGGTCGAAATAGATAACAGTATATTATAAGATAATATAAATAGAAATAGATAACAGGAACTTGACTTTGACACTGCCATCAAATCTACACTAACTTCAGTGTTATTGAATGAGCGCAGTGCACATCGCGATAATTTATTTTAAGTTTTAACAATATACCACTTTATTTCTTTTTACTGAGGAACAACGAAAATCGAATACAGGTTTGTTGAATACCTAAGAGCAATTACATACAAACGTGGAATACCATTTCAGTCCCGCAAGGTTGTAGGCGCAGGCATAGATGAACTTAAGTACCTATAGTGAAAAAGCGAAGGCCGCAAGACCATCCGCTACTGAGTGCAACACCAAAGCAGCACATTAGTGGTATGTTCCAAAATAGAACCCAGTGTACTGTCCAATGCAAATGACGTCATGAATCGACGCTATACTGGTGATTCGTTCCAAAACATAGGACAGTATATGACGTCATACATTTGCGCCATATTGGAAAAGTGTTGGCGATTATTTTGTCATTTTGTGCTCCAAAAATCAATATAATCTCCTAATGGAGATACCAGCAATTATTCTATAATTTTTTGTATTTGAATAAATAAAAGCAAATTCTGGTTTGCTTCATTCAACGCTGTTTTATTAACAACAACATTGTTTTATTATGGCCGGGCATCCGATGCAATATGGCGTCGGCACGCCAGTACAATATAGTGTCAATTGATGACGTCATTTAGTATTCGGCAGTATACTGAAAACGTTTCGGAACATACTCTAGGTAACATCGTACTAATTTTAACGAATATACTCACTTAAGAGTGACATGTCATACCATAGCTGTCGTTAGGGTCAGTTCACACAGATACGCGATGCGACGCGACGATGCATGAAGTGACCAGTGGTTTGGAACAGCATACGCGCCGCCGCGAGACGCATCGCGACGTCGCGTCGTGTTGTTCTTTCTTCATATCTTAAGGAATTATCTTTAAGATACTTTGATCATGGAGCAACAAAATCCGTTGGTGGTGGAGGCGGGTGCTTACTCCCCGGTTGGGGATGCGGATACCAGGAGACGTCTCAAGAACGTCCTTCTAGACCCCGACGACGAGATCACCTCCAAGAATACGTTAATCCCGTCCACCCCCCTCCTTCGGAGAGGGAACCCGTATTGACACAACACATACACATTCAGACATTACACTAGTACAGAACGCTGGGGCACACCGCGCTTGACGGCGAGCGCGAAGTCATATACATAACCAGTATAAGAGGTTCATCAACCGCGATACGGTGCGTTTTTAGTTGCGACCCGTTCCCCTCATTACGATTGTGGATCAAGCCGAGGTTCGTACCTCCTTCAGAGGGGACCTTGAATTACATCGAGCCCCGTCCTGGCTTGAGGAGCCTCACTCCAAGAGCAGGAATCGATTCGAAAACGCCCCAATTTTCGAATTATCTCGTCAAAATGTGTGTTATCTTTTCGTGTTGTATATAAAATTATATTTTGTATCACTATATTAAACCATAACAATATATAGTATATTATTATTAGGTATTTAATTTATATAAATAAAGTTAAATATATATAAGATTATAAAGTTAACATAACAAGATGTCATAGGTTTATATATTACTAAGTTATCTATATAATTGTGTATTATTGTGTCCAATATTAGAAGTTCATTGCTATGTAAAAGAGCGCCTCTCGCCATCAAACGTAAAAGTTTGACGAGTTTAGAATTAAGTAACACCACTGTATTATAAATTCAAAACTATCTTAAAAAGTGCGCGTCGCGTCACGTCCCCTTACTGATCCTAAGAGGCGATTTAGTAATCTACATATTTATTACTGTTTTTCAGCCTATGAAGGTCAACCGCGTGACATGTGTCCTCTGGTCACTGCAGGCAGGATTTGCCTTTATCATCACTCTTGGTAGGCAAATTGACGATCGCATAAATATGTTATGCACCTTTTACGCTGCTGCCCGTCACCGCTCTGGGTATTTTATTGATGGCTGCCATTTATCGAAAACTATAAGATTGATTGACATTTTCTATAGTCGCCTCTTACAGTATATTCTCGTTTAAAACTCGACTCGACTTGCTGAACTGAGTAAACGGCGCAAATGTGAGTGTGACTATATATTTGTGTCATTTTATGTAGAGACTATCGCCCCTGGAGTCCACGCATGGGAAACTTTCATATGGAACTATACCCGCAACTGATTGTCGCCGAAGTATTGACCTTTTTCTTGCCCAAAGGTTATATAGCCATATAGCGAGACAATGCAGCCAGCGCACTTGGTACTGTAACTCGGGGAATATGACTGCGTAATATAGATATTTTAATGTTTTGGGTAATAAATATAGATATTACAATATGTACATATTATAGGTCCCAAATGTTGTTTAATTTGTGTCCATTTAAAGCTACTGTTTTTTAGCGTTTTAACTCTATTAAACAAATGTTGTACAGCGTTTTGTGCTACTTGGATAAGTTTGAGGACTCTAACACTAAAACAGATAACCTGGTACGTAATTTTGGATTCATAAATATATTATATTACCTAACTTTGTTTTTTATAGCATTGAGAAGGTAACCAACGAGCACACAGTCCACCTGATGGTAAGTGGATGCTGTGGCCCATAGACATCCACATTTATCCTCAATTAAGAATCAAAATGCAAATTCGTTGTCACCCCTGAAGACTAAGATGGAATACCTCGATTCTAGTAAAAAGGGTCTCCGGTTCTCTACACACGCCATACGAAACACAGCAGCATTACGCTCGTATTCTGTGAGAGCGTGGTCCTCCCCAGGTCGAGCCGTTCCACGTAAAAAATTTGTGTTTCGGACATACATTTTTTTAATCGAAACATTACCCTTCCACTAATATTTTCTCTTATAGCAGAGAATTGTTTTACATAAATACGTAAATGGACAAACATTCAGACTCGAAACAATCATTCGTAGACACACTTGTTTCGTGCGGGATCTGAAAATATCTATCTAAAAAATGTACGGTGTTTATCGATCAAATTCTCGATCATAAATTGCACAAAGACAAACATTCGAATAAGTTCGTATCTGCGGTTTTCAACGCCGCAACTCAGTGCTAAGCAACAACGCTATGCAGCGGCCACGTTAAAGGGATTGTAAAAAAAAGTCAAACAAACCTTGAATCGGATCACTTAATAACGCAGATAAATAATAACCCATTTCGAAAATTACAATCCACACCGCTAACTATAACGCAGCAATACTTTTATAAAAACCTCAAACTGGGTTTTATGTTATAACTGAAAGAATAAAGCAGGACATGAGAAATGTGAGTTCGACTCGCACCCTGAGAGTTACACCATAATTCACGTAAGTTCACATGTGCTCAGTGTTGAGTGAGAGTACAAAACAAATAAGCGTTCAAACTCCCCCCACTTGTTCAAGTATTTTAAAGTTAGGTACATACTTTAGCAGCACAAGCAGCTAGCTCAGATCATTCCACATATTATATTCGTTGCCTTTATTCTGTCCGTCGCGTCGTGGTAATTCTATTAGTAAAAGCAAAGGTGACGTTTCAGCGAGGCTGCCATATCCATGTCGCATCGTGGTGGACGAGATTGCATATACTCGTATTTGCAGACTTCATTCATTTTAACCATTGAGTTATATGTACTACGTAGGTACTAGAGAAGCTATTCCAAACAAAAAATGTGCACTACTCTGTATCCGCACATGCGCAGTTGATATAAACGCGCGAAAATTGTCATAATAAATAGGTAATTGTTTATTAGCAGTGTATTGTTAATCGATTACATTTTTTTTAATTTTCGTTTATTTTGCATATGTGCTAAATTAATATAAATTATTATTTCGCCGCTCCGCACCGCATGAATATCGAAGCCACAATAACAGGTGTACGGATTGCAGTACAGTTCAGTTGAACATAGTGAGTGTTCGGAATGCCATATCTAGTGCGTAATACATATATATAGATGATTTTGACTTGTTAAAAATATTCTCTCATACATCATCTATATCACAATCGATACTTCAACTGCAAATGTATTTTAGTAAACTCAAAAAATATTTTCATGTGATATGACTACAAATTAACACAATCATCACCCCTACGATTTTCATGATGTCTTCTCGGATTCCGCCTACATTTTACGCTTGACTCGCCAGGCGAGTCGCCGGCACTGCAATATAAATTGATCGACTCGCCACGCGAGTTCACTGGCACTACGTAAGGGTAAATTCTATGTTTTGTAATTTTTGTGGCCGTTACAGTGTATGTACTTAACGTGTTTACGCAATTAAAAAGTGTTTCCGGACTATTCGGCTTGTAAAAATGGCAAAAAACTCTTTGGATAAAATAAAAAGTAAGTTTGTTTCGTAATTTGAGCAGTGGTTGTCAACCTTTTAAATTGTGGTTATTGTTAAGGTTATATTTTGAATTTCTAATACTTGTGAATAGAAAATTTTACCCCGAAATAATTTAATACGGGCTTTCAGTTTTAAGAATATGGTATCAGATTAAAATGTATTATTTTGGGTCGGCCTTAGTAATCTGCTGCACGATTTAAGTGACTATTTTAGCCTTAGTTGACAGGCAATGATGCTATTGATTACCATTTAGCTGCTTTTTATGCCGGAAATCTTTATTTTTCGAGATATCGATAGTTAAAGTTTTGAGGTTATATCGAGTTGGCTAGACATCCGGTACTTGATTTTGATTAATTAAATTACATATAACGAAACGCAAATATTATGTCAGTTTGTTTTTTTAACACAGATACACTCATAAAAAAGTTAATCACTCAGACCCAAACAATCCATTTGTGGCTGGAGATGGGACTTATATACAACAAATTGAGTTGCAATGGAGAGCAGTCAAGGTCATCAAAACACGGGAGTCCAGTAAACGTAAGCCAGGTCACAAAGGTAGAGAACAGATAAACGCATGCGATGACGAAAGGGTCGATATTGAAAACAAAGTTTACAGAAGTTTACTAGAGTAGGCAACGACGTCACAAGTATGAATACAAGACGAAATATTTAGTTGCAAGTGCATTCTTGGAGTGCGATTTAACATTAGCCAACGAGAGCTTTGTAAAAAACAATGTTATCCGTGCTTTTTTTCTTCAAATACAACGGCGCGCCGGTGTTTTTTTTGTCGGCTGTTTTATCAATGCCGACCCTTTTTTTATTTATTTTCAACCCTATTACAAAGATACAAGATTTATAATATGGCTGCTAGATATGTTATCTCAAATATTACGATAACTTTGTATTTCTAAAGCTTGTTTTAAAAAAAAATAATGTCTTGATAGTTCTTCCTAGGACAGAGGCTTTATTCCAAACTGGTGGTATATCAATACGTAATCAAACAAGAGTGACTTTCGATAAGTAACACATAAACACTCACGCCTGTCACCCAGAGAGGTAGGCAGAGACTACGGACTTCCATTTGGCACGATCCTAATTATTCTAATGAAACTAGTTTGTTGTATATTAGTTCCATATCACAAGTATGTAGGTAGTCCATGCTACTATGTTCACGTCGTTGTCTAACATGTCAAAGGTTGAGGATCTATGTCAGGGAACTCGCCTAGCGAGTTCAAGGCATTGCAGAATAGTTTGTTTCCTTTCAAATTTAAACGGGGTCTCCACACCCGGCCCACCACGTAAATCTTTAGTTTAGCATATATTTAGTCTAAACTATAATTTTAAGCAGAAAATACGGATGCATTTTGGAAATATTAGTGAAAAACACTGAACTCGCCAGACGAGTCGTCGGTACTGGAATAAGATTTACGTGAACTCTCCGGGCGAGTCGGTGGCACTGAATGTGTTAATATTTTTTATTACTATTTGATGGACCTGAGCGGATGCTGTGACCCATAGACATCTACATCTATGCTCGTTATCCTCGATTACGAATCAAAATGCAGATGTGTTGCCACATCTGAGGACTAAAACGGAATGCCTAGTTTCCTGTAAAAAAAGGTCTACCCAGTTGCACACATACCACCACGCAAAACACAGCGGCACTTATAGCGCTATTTTCGCTGGTATGCTATGAGGGCGTGGTCCTTTCCAGGTCGAGCCGACCCATTCGTTTTACAACCATAATCTACACATGTAAATTGCTACCTTTACTTGCTGAAGACTTCGCTTCTTGCTAAAGTTCATAATTCTAAATCAACAGAGAATATATTGATGAGTTTGCGAGTATCAAACATGTGGCAGTATCATATGATGGCGTTGACTTTATACCTCATCTAGTTTCTGAAAAAATAATCTTGACAGACGACCAGGCGGACAGACATACTATTTTCTTTTTGAGGTACAGAAATTTTTTTCAAATAAAACACTATTTCCTTTTAAATGCTAATATTTATTTATTATTTTTCATAGTTCTATTTAAAAGTACTTATATTTCAAGTTTAATCTGTAATGAAAATTAAAAAAAAACGAGCACTTAAAGTCTTGCGGTACCTAGCGCAAAAAAACGATAATGTCCTTAACTAAAAAAAAAAAAGAAACAGACGATAAAATTAAAATTACTTCTACTACTGACTTCTTGAATATTTTTAAACTTATAGTGGATTCTTACAACATTACGCTATTACGCATACCTACAATATGTTTACTCACATTTAGATTAAAATGGAAAGTATATTTCACACTATAGTAATTTATACTATCAAGAAAGTTCAGGCTCTTATTATCGTTAAGGCCTAACAGGCTTTGTGAAAATGTTAGCAATATAGCGATTTGCGGCGACTTTATAAACAAAACCCCACAAACAATGTGAGATATCAAGAGGTTTATACGCATAATACATGAATATGTTGTGATCCAAAAAATGCGAAATGCTGGACAGATCGCTAGTTATAATCTCAAACTTTTCACCAACGAGCTTAGTCATTTCAATACTCTAAGTGTTAATAAAGATTCAATCTAAAAAAAAATTACTTTTTTCCTATGCTAATAAAGACATTAATTGCTTAGATAGCACGCAATATGCAGCATAATGACCATTGGCAGTACCTATCGGGCACGCATAGTATTAAAGGCATATATATGTATTAATATATGTTGTCATTGTTTATCCCACCGTCTTAGAAGTTAATGGAATCTACATTAACAAAGCAGAACTTTTTTGAGACAGTGTGCTTCTTCCTTTGGCCGATTTGCTTCTTTCCTTTAGCCACCTGTAAATATAAATGACACTCAATAGGTAATAATTTGCAGTTATTTGAAGAATATTATTAAATGAACATCCTAAGTAGATGTAAAAAAAATACTATTGGTTAAAGATATATAAAATGTGACCGTATTCCTCCAAAATAATAATAATGTAAAAAATGGCCAAGATGTTCGGGGTTGGGGTTATAGTTTTGGATTTATGGATTGGTTGAAAGTATACAGTAGACTATTTATAACTAAATTCAACAAGCAACCGAACAATTTTTGTCATTATAAAGAGTTTCGGTTAAGAGGGACGAGTAGAAAATAACAAATAAAGAAAGAATTACTACACTAAGTCAGTTTGAGTCCACAGGCTCTAACGCGTGTTGCTAATAACGAGTTAGTGAGTCTCTTCAGGTACATAGTACTTATTTATTACTTCAATTCCTACTACTTTGTTATTTGTAAAATAGTGATTATTGTCACAAATTGACCAACTATAAGGCTGATAACGATGATGATTTAGATTTCACAAGACGAGGTACAAAAATTAATAAAATAAAGTTATCTGTTGACAAACCACACATTTGAACCGAACAAACTCTTTGTCATTCGAACACACACACATACAGCGAAGTGCATAACTTGCTACCATCTGTGCTTCCATCCAATTACAATGTCATCAAAGCAAGAGTGAATAGTTTTTTGTTAACCAAAATCAGTGCTTAATATAAGCTTTACTGTCTTCGAAATCATCACTACTTACCATCAGGTGGGGATAGCAGTCAAGAACTGGCCTTAAAAGTTTAAAAAAAAAGTATTAAAAAACTTATCTTCAGGCCTTCGCCTATACATATCAATGAAGGGATGAAATAAACACATACCTCAAAATCTATAGGCAAGTAAAGCTGTTGTTGTCAGATATCTTATAAATTCTACCAACAAATTATCAATGTCACCAACATTACAAATTACAAAAATATTATACCCACCAATGACAGAACTTTCCTTTGTGCTAATAGCATGGCCATCAAATCCTCTGGCAAGCGTTCCAATGTAACTTCCAATGAAGGCAATGCTTTCTTTACATTTGCTGCAGATGACACTTTCAAGGTTGGTAATGCCTCAGGTGATGTGATATCTGATAGGGGCATCTAAAAATTATATGCTTCATTGTGCCAACACATTTTATTTTGCAGGTAAATAAGAATTTTTTATATACAGTGGATCGCCAGTAGCCAGACAAACATTTTGCAAGGCGGTGTCGAACTAATGAATTTGTCGGATTATAGAGTACCTACTGCTTAAGACCCTTACAGTCCGGAATTTTTTACAAAGGAGTACCTTGTAATCCGACAAATTACAGATTCAATGATAAGATTCTATATGTTATATATATGTACTCTGAAGTACAAATCATACTTCATTACGTCAAATACAAACTAAGCAATCAAAATCAAAACAATACCCTACGCGTCGAGCACAATAGCGGTACTCTACACTATAATTTATTATAGCGTAATATGGATAGAGAAAATTACTTTATAGTCCCACATTTTTCTTAAATCTAGTGCATTTTTATTGGTATTCTCATTTTATTAGACTAGATACTGACTTGATTACATTAGTAATTAGCAAAGCCATAAAAAATCACTAAACTTATGATCGAAGTTTAACTAGTTTGATATTTTTTTATATAGTCGCAGTGACAAACAAACTTCCAGCTCACCAGATGGTAAGTGGCTATTGCAGCCCATGGTCACCTGCATTCAACTTTAAATAAAGGAGGCTACAGGTGTGTTGTCCATGACTAAGTTAAAATCCGTAATTTGGTAAATATGGCTCTCTATTCCTTTCAGACAGGAACACAGCAGTTTGGGCGCTGCTAATTGGCGGTAGCAGTAGATAGGATGGTGGTACCTACCCCTCATAGCCGATTTACAATTGGACAAGTACAGTAGCGAGTTTAGTTCAAGGGTAGTTGACAGTAAACGGTTAAGTGGACAGTAGCGTTGAATGTCTCCGTGACGAGTTTAGTTGAAAAAGTATAATTATTTTCTATTTTGGGGGGGAGGTCAAAAGAGAACATGTTACGTCCTGTCTATTTATGCACTGAACTAAACTCGCTCCTTCACAAAGGGTGACGAGTTTAGTTATGGGTGGCGGGAGAGGTGCAGGAGGACAGCACTTCGCAGTTAACTCGCCAAAAAATAGACCGGCCAGCGATCCCGTTCAACTTAATTGTTAACTTGCTACTTAACTCGCTAATTGCCGGTCAAACGAGATTTTCTACCTAACTCGCCAGGTTCGCAAGTTAACTCACTACTGTATTTGTCAAAGTGTAAATCGGTCTTTAGACAGAACAGCAGTCCTTACACCTATTTTTTTATAGAATAAAGGTGACAAACGAGCACACATTCCACCCGATGGTAAGTGGATGCTGTGACCGATAGACATCTATCCTCGACTAAGAATAAATATGTAGATGCGTTTTCCCTTCTAAGGACTAAGACGTCATTCCTCATTTCCAGTAAAAAGGATATTCGGTACCCTACACTCACCATACGAAATAAAGCGATATTAAGCTGCTATTTTACAGTGGTATACTGTGAGTGGTTCTTTTCCAGATTGAGCCGACCTATTTGTGCTTCAATCTAATATACCTACAGCATTACTCTACCATTATTTTTTAAGTCTTTTATTTATAAAATTATCAAATTGTAACTATGAAGATGTGTAATGTTTTTTTTTTGTGAGACCAGATGGTCATAACTCGTTGGTGAAATGTTTTTTTTTTAATATTTTCTACACCTAAAAACTTTATAGGAAGTATTTATCCCTAAAAAGCCGAAACACATAAGAACACAAAATTAAAAGCGTTTCAGTATGACAGTAACCACAAAAAAAGCAAAATAACAATTCATAACTAGGCACAGACTCTCTCATTTCTAAGAGGATTGTATGAGCACTTGTTTTTTTGAAGTGTCAGACATACTGATTCCCTTAAAATGTTTTCCTTCACTGCTATGCATGTATTGATAAATTGCAATATTATTATTTTTAACTCAGCCGTGGTCGTGAGGCTAAACACTCGCCATAAATTTCACAACCTGGGTTCAATGCATGCAGCCACCAATGAAATCGTTTATTGCAATTAAAGTGCTTATTTACCACATACCTGCATGTCTGAGAAATAAAAAAATACTTCATAGACATGTGAAGTCCGCCAATATGTATTCGGGCAGCGCGGTGGACTAAGGGAATCAGGAATTAGGGTAGGTCTGTGCCCAGGATACCCACTGGGACATATATATGAACTCACTGTGTTTCTGTGTTTTTTTGTGTGTGCATGAATAAATCAAAAAAATTATAATAGATTCAAATATAAATACCACAGCGCGTCCATTTGTTTGGGACACAAATGCACTCATCAAATGCTTTGGCAACCTTTCTATTGCAACTTCCAATAATGGCATCGGTGAGTGCTTTATGATTTTTCGTCGCAACAACATTGCAACGGTAGTCATATTTAATGCAGGCAGAGACTGGAGTAATGCAAAGTCTTGTTTCTAAAATAAAGAAAAAATTAAAATACAAAAGAGTGATACTGTTTGTTGCATATTTACCAAGCAAAAGAGCTGTATAAAAAAACAATAAACTTTCTATGAATAAAGGATACAATTAAAATACAAGATATAATATATAAATAAAGCGAGTGAGGGCAATGAAAAGACGGTTTTAATTAGTGCAAGATTATTCAATTTATAGACTATGTAATTTTAATAGATAATGCCAACTGAATATCTGGCTCAAAGGATCAAAAATGTATGTAATGAAAATATGCAATTCAAGCCAAACTTGCGAACATACGAAAACGAATTGATGCAGAATTATGGACGACAATAAAACTGTACATAAATTGGTAAAGAAAGGGATAATGGAGGGGAAGAGGGTGAGGGAGGGCAATTCAAAATAAGGAAAAATGAAAATTACCTTTTAAATACCATGCAACTGTGTAGTGATCGAAACTATCAGAGACGTATACATGTAAGGGAAAGGAATAAGAAGTAAAAATGATCAATGGAACAAGCTAATACAAAAATATGTATTGAATCAGTGCAAAAACCTATCAAAAACATCTTTTTCGTCATTTGATCCCATGTTGAGTCCGTCCCTTAAATTTCACAATTTACTATTCCACACTGTTTCATGTTGACGATAATAATGAATACTAGTTCAATAATATACTTACAACAACTGGGCCTTCTAACGCAGCTATCACAGACTCCGGTAAGCGTTCAACCATGACTTCTAAAGAAGGCATAAGTCCAACTTCTTTTCGCATCTTTATTTTAATGTTATCACTTTAGATACAGCAACTGGTTGATCTTGTCACCAAAAGAACCTTAAAACACAATGCGATATTTAAAATAAAATTATTATTCTTATATCATGTTTTTATACATGGTAGATCATCATGTAATGCCGTCCAAAAATGTTGTGTCCTAGAAAATCATTCATTTTCGATTTATTCTCAGAGCATATACAAAGAAAAGTTGTCTTCTCTCATTTTGCATTCACCACACTTACATTTCAGGTCAGGTTATCCCTTTTAAAATTGAAAGACAATGGAAAGATAAACTACTGTGTTACTCTGCAAAAATTACTCTAATGAATTTTCTAAATGATAAATGTAATTTTACTTGTAAATAATTTTATTAATTATTTGTGTGCTCTTTGCATCGCCTATTGGCAATGCTTAAATTTATTGCACAAAAATATTAAGCGGAATGAATACCTTATTCTGTGTGTGTGGACAAAAGTGGTTATTGCATTTATCCTCCATAAACAGCCCACCCTACGGCACAGCCTACTGCAAAACTCGTGTTCTTTCTATCCACCCCGTCTGGGGTTATACAGAATATACTTCAAAATGTTATTATACTTTAATATAATAGTATTAATTAATTATAATATAGATTTTTGATTTTTGCTTATATTTACTAGATGGCCGAGCAGATGTAGAGGGGCCCTTTCTGGTAGGTGACTCAAAAGTTACCCACCAAATCCACTCTAAACTTTTTGCAATGTAAATATACAATGTATTATTTAACTTGACCACAGAGCCACTGATCAGGTTCAGATTTTATGATTTTATTTTTAGTCACTAATACACCATACTATCACAGTAGGGAAAAAAGACCTTATAGTTGGGAAATGAATGTACTTGCTCAGAGCAACGCAACGATGGGGGCACTGCAGGGCAGGGGGCGGGCCAAACTTGCACTAACGCACTTTACTGAGTCTAATAGAAAATACATGCGGTTGGCGCGAGTGTTTTATAGTCCTTATTTAACTAACTTTAAGCGCAGTTTTCGAAAAATATAGTATCTATAATGGTGAATTATGTTATAGTTATAAGAGTTCTTCTTCTTTAGTTTTTATGACGGTTTTGATCATTCGCCAACATATAGTCAGTGGTTCCCTCATCTAATCCACATTCACAGAGGGAACTATCCCTGATTCTCAATTCGGCTAAATGTACTTGTGTGCAAACATAGCCAATTCAAAGTCTATAAATATTGATGTTGCATGTTTGTTGGCTTTATCAAATTTAAAAAACCATAGCTTTGGAGGGATGGAACATAGCAGCATAGTATTCACCTTTCATATTTTGAGTGGATTTCCATTATCTATTCCAATTATTATTTAACCTCCGTTTTGCAAGTAACATTATGTCTGAAGAGAAACTACATTACATGGTATACCTTTTTGAATTGAGTTTTAGCCATCAGATCAGCTGTTTCATTGCCATTTATGCCACGACATTTATGAGATGACATCTATATGTGTGTTTAATTTGGAGGATCAAGGATATCTCATATTTCCTATGAAACTGGTTTGACAAAATTGCTAACAAACAGCTTTTGGAGTCAGTAAGTATTACCGACCTATTTAAGTTATGAAATGAAATGAATCATTTTTTTTATTCCATATAGAATATTGCATAATACTTCTTGAGTCATTTTTTTATTTACCACTCGTTCGGAAAAAAGCCTCTGTCCTTGGAAGAACCAGCAAAAACCCTACGGGACTTTTTTCAAACATATTTCCCTTTACATCTACACATGTGTAATCTATTTTTTTAAATTTTTGAATTTATTTTTATTTTTTATTTGCTTCTATATACTGGGTGACTATTTTTACCGTTTGGAAAAAAAATGGGTATATCAGGTGAACGGAGTAGAACCTATGGCACTGATTCTACAAAAAATAAAAACATTTTTGAATTAAAAAGATAAATCAATTAAAATCTATCGAAATTGACATCATATCCACACACACTTTACAAATGGCAATAAAACAATAAATGTATTAGGCATCTTTGACCTTGTCACTTCACAAGGTCATAAACCCAAAGGCAAAGCAGCCCGCACCTTTAACTATCATTTCATTTTCCTGTCGTTAGCCAAAGCGTCACACTCACGTCACGTCACATTGCTGTCGTATTGTTTGTATCGTAAACATGTACCAATACACTAATGACGAGCCAATTCGGTGATAGGATAGGTTGTGGTTGGTCTATGAACTGGCCGGCGAGATGACCAGACCTAACACCTCTAGACTTTTATTTGGGGCCAAACTAAAACAATTAGTGTACACAGAAGAAGCACAAAGTGTTAGCGATTTAAAGCAGTGTACGATATATAAACGCATTTAATGTGACAAAAAGTAATAGAGACACGCTTCGAAATTCAAACAATTTACAAAGACGTGCTAATTTGTGTTTAGAAGAAAACTGTAGACATTTTGAAGAATTACTGCGATATCGCTACAAAGGACAATTTTATTTGTAAATAACAATAACGTAGTATAATTTTATACATATCAATCAGTGTAAAGAACTTGATTTCGATGTTTTAAATACGCCAAGATGTTGCAGTATAAGTTAGGTATAAATAATTATTATTAGAAACTGTTTATCAATTCATTATAATATAATCCAAGATAAAATTTTACATGTAATCCTACTCAACTTCAGCATATTAGTCGGTCCTAAGCCCGTAAAAGTATGAAGGAAAGATTGAAATCACGAAAACAATAAACTGAACCGAAAGGCAATTCACCTACTTACCATTTCCTGTTTCACTTTTTTTGCTATTTACAAACAAGCAACACACGACATCATTATTAATGAAATAGTGGCAATGAGAAGTGCTTCTTATCTTAAATATTTTTCTTTTATTGATCAAGTATTTTATTATAACCAGTAACTAGTACTGGGAGGTCTATTTACACTGAACGTTTTAAGGTCATTGACATTATATGTGAAAAAACCACCACCAACCAATGGCTTTTCGAGGCACGGGGGTATTACACCGCCAACTTCCTGACTCCGGGCAGCTACTGAGAATTTCTTGGCGGAAAAACTTAATAAATTGATTTTTTATACCAACAAGAGATTAGAACCCAGGACCTCATAATTAGCTGTCACACTACTACAACCACTAGACCAATAAGACAGTCAAAATGAAAAATAAATATCAAAAGTGCCTAAATACTTATAAGAGAAAAGAAAATTTTGGCACTGGCGCCTACATAACGAAGGATGTGCATGCTCCTCTCTTGCTCTTACAACTGTCATTCACTAGTGATCGTAGCCTATTTTTAGTTTAACGCAAATGCCGTAGGATGATTTGTTTTTATGTATATTTTTTGATATTCGTAAAGTTGTATCTAGTTATATAAAAGCTTCATTACACAAAACACCTTATTTTCCAGATGTAAAAATAGTCACCCAGTATATCAGAGCTTCACGAATTGCCGTGGCCTCACCAATAAAAGTGGAAGAAATAGAAGGGTATTTAAAACTAAGAATTATTTTGTATCTGGGAATCCAAACTTCTGCTCCAATACAACTATCATCACACTTATTGGGGGCATCAGTGTATAAAACTATGTAGATTCATAGATAAATTATAGGTGATCTTGTTGTTGTTGTTGCTGTATTGCTGCTCTCAATACCAAGATCAAGGTGAATATTTGGTTGGTAAATAATTGCATCATATGGGATATCAAAGATGGGATACAATTGCATTGTGATTCTGGGTATGGTAGATGGAGTAATGTTACCAAACTGTTGGATAAACAGAGAGATTCTTTGAGTTTAGTAAACCACCAAACTCCTGATAAATCGAGAAGAATATTTATATACTTTTCACATTTTTTAGAGACATAATTGATACGATGAGAAAAGGCTAATTTGGAATCAAATACAACTCCTAAAAATTTTACAATCTCCCTAGATAGGTTAGTTATTATAATGTTGATTTTAGGGACTTGCTTATGACGAGAGAAAATCACAACACTGCTTTTGGGAGCAAACCATTTTTCTGCACCACAATCAACCTCTTTGAATATTAATTAAAAAGCCTCATTAAATTCAACATGACAGATTTTTGCTAACTTTTATAATTTTAATTTGTTTAAAAGATAAATATAAGTAATTAATTTGGTCTAATTATAGTTTTTTTGACCATTTAATATAAGTTTATTTTATTTAGACAACTATTCGCCAAATATCGAATAATGAATACTATTACTCACTATTCAACAATTAAAAAAAATATGCCGAGTAATGCCAAATACCTAATAATAGCGAGTATTCACAGCATTTTTAGCCTGCAGTCCTACTCTATTGAAATTAAAATGTTTTTTGTAAATTTCAATGGCCTCACATATCAACCTCGGTAGGAATAAATATTATTTAGCGTGGATATGTGGTCTATCAAATCTGATGTAAATGTGAGGGCCATCTAAAATATGATCACAAACTGCAGACATCCCTAGACGATGATCTTATCCTAGATGAACTCATTACATCAGATTTGATAGAAAACAAATCTTTGCGAAAACCTCGGGAATTAATAATAGGTAAAATTAAATGTGATAAAATTCATGAAAATAGTTTTATTAATGTGTTGTGTTTGCTAAAATATAAGAAATTATAATAAGTATTTAAATTTTATATTTACCCAGGTTATATTATATTTGATGAATAACATAAAATAACTGACAATTGAAAATTCGATGTAAATGTGAGGAACATCTAAAATATGATCACAAACTGCAGACATCCCTAGACGATGATCTTATCCTAGATGAACTCATTACATCAGATTTAATAGAAAACAAATCTTTGCGAAAACCTCGGGAATTAATAATAGGTAAAATTGAATGTGATAAAATTCATGAAAATAGTTTTATTTAATGTGTTGTGTTTGCTAAAATATAAGAAATTATAGTAAGTATTTAAATTTTATATTTACTCAGGTTATATTTTAT